CCGAATACAAGCGATCTGGCCGGTGCCGGAGAGACCTCTCAGTGGGCAGGGAGACGGGAGGAGGGAGGAGGGGGGAGGAAGGCTGGAAGAGGGAGGAGGGAGGAGGGATGAGTGCCAGAGGGTCACTCTGGTGAAGGGGCACTCTTACGCGCAGCCGACCCGTCCGCCATTTCGGGTACGCCTGGTCCTCCAAGATTGGGCCATGCACCCCTCGTGTGTTGCAGACCCGTCCGCGGAGACTGGAATCGGGGGCGTCCAAGAGGGGGCGTCTAAAAGGGTTTTGTGCAAATTATGGCCCGAAGCATGTGCGCGGATCGGGGTGGGGCAGGGGACGCGTTGAAATACAAAGAGGGGCCATGAACTCTAGTGAGATATCATGACCCTGGCCATGATATCCACCCCCCTAGTCAGCACTTCCCTCGTGGCCGCCCCCGATGTAACGAACGCGCTGCGGCGCCCGATACCCAGCACCCATGAGGCGTCCGCCGCTGCCGTCTCCTGCTCCTGCTCCTGCTCGCTGCGGAGCTCAGTCCTGCTACACGGGTGTCTGAGGCGTAACGGCGGAACAACACCAAAGCATCACGCCAGAGCCATCCTCCCTGCCCCCATCCTCCTTCCATCGAGGGGGGCGGACGAGGAGCGAGGAGTGGACGAGGAGCAAAGAGTAGGAGACGGGAGGATGAACTCGCGGCTCGGCGGCGCCGATCACGGAGGCCTCGTGCTCCAGAAGGACTCGAGGTGCAGATGAAGGACTTTGAACTCTCCCACTCCACTTCGCGTTGAAACGCGCACTGGTAGGCGAGCAGAAGCAGGAACCGCTTCACGAAAGCTTGAGGACTGCTGCTGCTGCGGAGGAGGAGGAGGAGCAGGGACAGGATCATAAGCAGAAAGGGTGGACGCGGAGGTCAGGAAGGAAGTGGGGGCGGGAGCCTCTCCCCCTGCGTGAGGAGGAAAAGGAAGGACGGAGAGGGCGACTCTGGAGAGGACGGGGAAGGCGAGGAGGCGGCGGTAGAAGAGGATGGGGAGGACCACGATGATGGAGACGTGCGGAGG